CTCGATAGAATTCCGCCTATCCGATCGCTAATAAAGTAATTCAATAAGATTATTGCATCATACAATGCCGGATTTTCAATGGTAATATTAAGGGTCCTCTACATAAGTTTATTATTTATTGAAAAAACTACTTTCCTGTAACTTTATTTAACAATCTAAGTAAATCTAAGTAACAAGTGTTGATTTTAAGCGAAATTAAGAGAAATATACATTCAATATCACAAACCCGGAGATATTATTTACTTTTCTTATTAATGCTTTATTTATACGTCAATTGAGCTAATAGAGACATACATATATAATAGAAAGTGATATATAAATATTTAAATGTGTGTATATATACGCTGGTATCGCTATGAATTGTAAATTTCCTATAGCTCTATTTGCAAAACAAAATAGTCAATTATTCTGAAATTTTATACAATGTCTCTATATTAGATTTTTAATATCACAGTAGTTTTTCATTAAAATCCTAAATATAGTTTAGAAGGAATTGAAAATAGAAGTTGAAAATAGAGAATTAAAAATAGAACGCGCATTAACCTGAAAGAATACGTATAAAAAATGTCATCTTCAATTGCGAATATTTCAGCTTCCGAATGGTAAATTGTTTCCTAATTGTGCCAATAATTAGATTATATTTTTTAATCTATATATAGTATAAGTTTCAATGAATTCTTAAAAAACTCATTTTACGCTACAACTATCTTAAAAAAATATGTACGTGGCTGAGTGTTCTTAACATTTTACAGTAAAAATTAATACTTTACTTATTAATCGTTCATCGTACTTGTCATTCGTTAGTGTCACGTAAACACGAAATACATTAATGCAAAACTTATCAACCACGTAATATGACTTTGGTCAATTTTAAGTTTCACGACATAGTTTTATTCTCACCGCAGGAAGCTATCGGCTATCGTGCGAGAAATAAAAATTCATATATTATCGCGCAAAATCCGATTTCCCAAACTCGATTAGTCCACGATCATTATTCAACTCGTCATAACGTGTGCGTAATCTCTTACACAAGTGAGAGACACCATTAGAAATCTGAAGAAATTTCGTTAAACAAAACTCAATTAACGGGCCGCGCTCCTCCGCCTTTATATTCCACCTTCTTTCTTTCAGAACTAAAAGAAGCACTTGAGCGGCGATTCCCGTCCGTTTTCCTTATTCAGTTACTATATAATTTCGCGAGAATATCTCCGCGAAGCGTATCCGCGGACGCGTCGGGAATATTCTTTTCCACATCCATATTTCTTGCCCGAACGCTCAACTTCTAAGAATATTTTTATACTCCGCTAATATTATTGTCGTTCACTTTTGCATACCGGCCGAGACAACTCGTTCCGCGCTGCGGAGTTATAATCTGCTAAATATTCCGCGAGCTTGGAGATCGTTAAAAAGTCGTAAAACATCATTAAAGCGGATTCCCGTCGTTCCTTCACCTTTATTCATCGCGATGATTCTCGAGAGAAAGGAATCGCGGGCTCGCGCCCAAAATGACCGCCCTCGCAAAATCTCCTTTAGAGCGGAGCAATTTAGCGGACGTTCGTTTTCTTGGTTCTATTTAAAATCCAGGGTTCATTGGAAACTAGCGGGCGCGCGAGGCTACCTAGGCAACTGTATGGATACATAGCTAACTGAACTGCGTGAATAACCCTCCGACTTTACCGTGAGACCAGTCGCAAATAAAGTCTCTTTGGCTCTGAATCAAGTTCCTGGTCAAACGACGTAACGAGTCGACGAACGTCATCGAGCAAATTTAACGACGTAGGCGGTAATTAAGAGACTACCTTAAATCCTTCGTCCTGCCCACTGTGATAACTTTCCAATTTGCAATATAAAAAGTACACGTACCGAAAGCCAAAAGAAACTTACAAAATATGTCTGCCTTTTCTCGTAAACTGATATGTATTTTTTACACGAAATGTGAATACTATTTCGCTTTAGATGTGACAGGAAAACAAAACCTTACTTAAAACCTGAAGAAGCGAATTATTATCTGTTAAACTCGCCGAGCGTAACGAGATACTGAAATATGTACGCTAAACTAATTAATTAGCACGGCTCTAATTAACAAAAAATTATTCAGGAGACTTTCTATGTTTTGTCAGTGGTGAAACATTCGCGATTTTGTCTGATATATTTATTATTCGATCGTGCGATCAAAATGTAATATTTGACACGTTCGTTGCTACGGCCAATTAGCCGGAGCATGAAACGCTTCGCTAATTAACGCTATACCCGGAGCGAAAACACCATTAATCTATGAAATCTAAAATATTGCGGTGCGCAAGAGGTTGAATATGTATGCTCATTTGTGTAGCAAAGTTCTCTCTAGCTTCCGCGAAAGTGAATTTCACCGTTGCGAGGTAAGTTTTCCGCGAGTCATGCATCGAGCAGTTTCGCCTCAATACCACCCTCCGATATTTACCCCGATAGCTATCGAACTATTTCGCCTTTTTTAGTTCCGCCCTGTGGAAACGCAATCGTATGGGTGTTCCTTTATACAACAATGGTGTGTATAGGAGAGTCGATACATCAAAGACTCCTCAATACTCGAACTCGTACAAATGCTAGAAAAGAGTCGAAAAATATAACTGCACATAGAACTCACAAGAATAAGCAAAAAATTGACGTATCGCCCTGCCCTTTTCGGAGATCACTATAAAATAGAATTGTGTCGAGATGAGATATCATCATACAGTAAAAAATTTGGTGTCTAAATGTTAAAATTTTCTTGTGTTACTAACTTTTCATTATTATTTCAATGTACACAGAGAAAATATTGTAGTAAACATTACGATAAAATAATGTTGAACCATGTCGGAATTATAATTAAAATTATGATATGTATTGCAATCTTTAATGATATGTTTCATTGTATACATCAGTAAAAATTACAATACATATAATAATTTCGGTTATAATTCCGATATAGTCCAATATTACTAAATTTTGCAATAATTTTTACTACAATATTTTTTCTGTGTAAAATTGACGTATAGTTGATATGTTACTATATTTTTGTCACGTTTTCATGTGTTATATTTATGTCAGTTTAATAATTGAATATTTTCTGCGTGTAATTTAAAAATGAAATATTATTTCGAGTTCTTTTAACACCATTGCCTAGTTAATTTAACGTATTATATGTGTTATCTCAACATTTTGTGTTAAGTCAATATTCAATACATATAAATGTCAGGATAACACATTTTATACTTCAATGTTGATTAACAAAGATGTTAATTTTATTGAATATTATTTAATTAATATCAAATGTTAATATTACTATGAATAAAATGTAAGTTAAAATAATTAGTATCATGTATTGGAAGAAAATTTGTTAGTGTCAATTCATTAACATTTTCATTTATGAACAAGTAACATATAATTAATGAGTTATTTCAACTTAAAATTTAGAGTGGACTCTCTGGGACATGTAACAAATGTTAACATTTTGATTGATTTAACTTTGACATTTTAATTAACATTCTATTTTTTACTGTGTACTACGAATACTTTGATCGTTCGTGAGTAAAGTTTTCCCAAATAAAAAAGCAACGTGATTCGAAAGAATCGCGTTACTACGCGTTTTACGCAAAAAAATGGCTGTTAAAAACCCGTACGGACGAGTAAACTTTCCCTCAAGCACTCTTGATTTTCACAATTGGTCCTTCTGCGGCGGTCGCGGAAAGACTTAACGTTCTTCAACGACTTCCGTGTTAGATACGAAGCGCAAACTAACGTGCGTCGCACACAAACGTCGCGGATTCAACGCGGAAAGATGCGTACTTTTACTTACTTTTCCACATCGTGGAATTTCTGCGTTCATAGAGATACGCGTACCGATACGCGGCGAGCAGTCTTGTAAATACGTGCATGTAACTTCAGCGACCATACGGCTGTTCGTATTGAAACCACGGGCTTAGTAACACGAACCATCCAAATGGCCGATGGATGAACGTCAGTGCTCTGTGACTAAGGTCACAGTTAATCGAAGTTTGCGTACCGTCTAATATCGGGTAGTCAGTCTCCAGCGTGTCTCGAAACGGATGCCGTCCATAAGCCACCCGCTATGAACTCAAACTCGTCGGCCCATCAAGAGCGCGCGCTCGTTGGACTATGTGTTATGAGAGCCCTGAGGACGCGTACGGTTCGTTCCTATTAACGAGCCTCACGTTCCACCCCTCTCAAGATTTATACACAGTATCCTCACGCGTCTTCTTTCAGTTAGCACGGCTTTGATCAATCTCGAGGCGGTCTTCCCTTGGCGAAGATTCCTTGGGACGTTCTTTCGCGACGTCTTAATTTAGGAATATCACGACTTAAATTGAAATTCCGATAAAATAAGAGTTACTTGAAAAGTCACGGGAGCAATTTTAGACGGTACCGTAAGTATGTCGTCATATAAACGTAAACTGTTTAAACGTGAACTGTGTAAACGTAAACTGTTTATTCATCAATATTAATCGCACACTGTGTTTAAGGAGGAGACACAGCAAATTCCGTACAAAATACACGGGAAAACAATATTTTTGAATCAATAAAATTTCCAACAGCACGCATACTTGGGGTAAATCTTCTTGATTCAATAACGATATCGTTGAATCTAATACTTTAATTATTGAAACAATACGTAACATAATAGTTTTAATGATATTTGCCATTATATATTACCCTCGAATATAACTCACAGTTGAAATTATAGTTCTACATTAATCTTGCAAATTCCATCAAACTTGAGGAATTAACGGAGGATCTCGAGACATAACACTGTACAGACTATTATTCCATCTTGATATATCATACACGTTTATTTACAAGATATCCGATATTATTTCAATATTCTATCTACATTTAATTTGTATCTTTAACGTTTCGATAAATCTTAATGTCAAATATTAAATAATTCTTGAATGAGTTAAATTAAAATAAGTTCATTAAAATATTAAAAGTAATATAAAATTACATAAGTTCTTTAACAGTCTTTCAACTGAAAAATAATAAATAATCATTTCTGGCAATAAAGTACAATAGCCTCTGTGTGTTTTATTCTGGATATACAATTGATAAAGTGTCGTGAATTAAATGTATTTGATATCAAGCCATAGATTGAAATTCCGTTAAAGCAAAGATTACTTAAAATTAAATGAAGAGCCTTCGTTGACGCCATAAAGCATTCCGCTATCAACTCAAGCATCAAGCTGTCAAGAGCACAAGCGGCGCGTTGTTTGATATTAAAGCCTCGAGACTCTCATATAAGTTTACTATACATTTACATATATTCCCAGACCTTGTTTATTCCTTGAAAATATATGTGCTGTCCTCAAATTGTCTCGAGAAATTAATTGAACGTCATACCCTTCATACGTATTCCATACGTCGTAATATTATATTATTTCACTGAAATAACAAGGCAGTTTAAAATTAATTAAAGTACCTTTCTCGGTGTCACAATCCGTCCGTTGCGGATTCTCGCAACATCCATCCTGATTTCAATCTCGATTTCGAACCGTGTGTCGAGAAAAGTCGGATTCTGCAAAGTTATTTGAGATGCGCACGGACATGATTGCATCGACGCTACAGCAACGGTGCTTTCTCACGTCCGTTTTGATCTGGCGCCGTAAGCGTTATCCCGAAATAGTGCAAGTTGCGAGAAAAGTGGAAATACTACTCAGCGGAAATACATGACAAGCAAGTAGATGCTTCATAAGGGGCTCATACATACGCCTGTGCGCGCGCTCGGAAAGATTCAAGATATCAGCGTCAAGTGCAATTTACACTATCGCGCTTTAGCGGGAGATTCTCGCCGGCGGGTACTTAGAGCGTTAAACGTATCTCGGTTAAATCCGGCAAAGGTACGTGCTTTGGCACTGCTCATCTCGGCCGGTATCAGCGCCGCGGCGTAATAACAAGGCCGCTGTGACTTCCTGAATAATTTTCGCAGCACGTGCTTTGCTGTAGCGGAAAAAGACTTCGCGGGTATCAGAGACATTCTTTAACCTTCCCTCACTTCACCCTTCCTCGAGCGCTCGGGCGATACGCGAATGATACACGAGCGGGAGACAACGCACAATTTTCCGCAAGAGAGCGAGACAGGATGAGAGAGAGAGAGAGAGAGAGAAGGATGGAGACGAGTCACAATTTGTAGCCGTTGACAGGTAAGCCCGGTAATTTATGATCCGGCAACGCCGGATGTCATAGCGGTCGGGTTTTAGAGCGGTGGTTTCCGCCAACTTACCTGAAATACAAGGGTCACCGCGGAAAAATGCGTTGCCTTATTGCGTGCTTAAGGATTTATGCGTGTTACCACAACGTCGTTTCGCTGATCTCTCTCTCTCTCTCCCTTTCTCTCTCTTCACTTTCTTCTCTCTCTCCTTCTCATGTGCCACGCGTGCATTTGCAACGGACATCTCGCGTTTTCCGTGCCGCGAAGTTTAATCGTCCCGGTAGCTACTCGCGATTACGCTAAGGTTACTCGTAAAGCGTATAAGCGCGCTGGCACACTTAGGAGAAACTAAACGAGGACCTGTCTGTGAATGTCATCTTGCTAATATATGTAAGTGCCTTCAAGCGCGCACGACGCACGCTGCTTTGCATTCCGTTGAAGTAAAATTGCGCTTAATATCAGCCGAAAGATAATGTCTCCCTGTGCCGCAGCGCTTTGCAACGCGAGACGGGTAATACGCCACTCTCTTTCTCTCTCTCTCTCTCTCTCTCTTGATCGTACGTGTTTCGAAGGGATATGGGAGTCTCACGCGCGAAACGCAAAATCCTCGCAGGATCCGATTTCGCGGGATTAAAGTTTTTAACCGCCGTAATTGAGTGCCGAGCGAGCCGCCGAGTCAAGCGGCGGATGAGCGCGCGATGAAACGTTATCGGTGTTATCCGGACTCGAGATTGTTATTTTACGCGAACATTCGGCGAGTACGTCGTAATATGCATACGCGGGCAGCAGCATCTGCGAGCGCGGCACGCGTTCTACAACGGGGCGCGCTCAAGGAAGGATTTATCGATCACAGGTAGTCGCGTGGCTATAATGTCGGTTTAACCGGCGGCAAAGTATGAATAGCGTTCGATTTACGGCGTCGAATCCCGCGGATGTATCCACGTCACGCGAGCCGAGTCTGTGAAAGCCTTTTATACCGATTAGCCTTTGTGAGGGATAATCAACAGTTCGAACTCGGGACGGTAGGGGGTCGCCTTTCACGGGAGTTTGATTTACAAGTACCGCACTCGCCGCGCGATCGGCCGATCGTTCCCTCCTCTGAAATGGCTCATTGCAATTTCGATGACGCGCGGTCCGCTCGAAATGCGCACACGCGCCACAAAATGCGGTACCGTTCAAATATTGGTGCGGCCAACCGACGCGGGATTGTCCCTATTTATTCCATTGATTTAATCACTTGCAATTAGCGGCGTTAAATAATTACTTCAATTCAGATCGATTCTGCATGGTGCCTGAAACTAACGTGAGGTCCCTCAAACCGCAGATCCTGTAGCTCGAATTGAGAAAAATAAGAATCGCTCGGAGATACGAGGTTATTTGATATCGAAGCTCAAACGGTTCTAACGAATTAAGTAAGCGAATGTAAATAAAGTGTGAAATATTATTTAGGAAGACTCGAGGGGTCCCTTTATTATATTTTGTCGAATACTTCGAAAAGTGAAAGGAAAATCAAAACTTTTCCACGATAAATCATAGATGTTTGAATAATGTATCTAACCAAGTTAAAGAATAATAATAATTCTTAGAGTAATTTACATTTTCGTAAAACCATCGAGACCCTCCAAATATACCCTATCCTGAGAGACTTGATCCAGAGATGGGGGATCCTGTTATCCCCATGTTTTAATTAATCTGATAAAAAATATTGGATAATCATAATCAATCTTTATTAAAGATTTTTATAAAATTAAACAAGTTACAAAATATAATTTTAAAAATAAAATAACAAGTTATATTTGTCTTGATATACCTATCAAAATTATTATAGAATAATTGTTAAAATTCATTGGCGATACGTTGTCCAGTATAAACCTAGTCAGATAGCCAAACCTGCAGAAGCAGATTTTGTGCTGTATCTGCTATAAATTTTGACACCATGCTAACAGAAATATAACAGGATTTGCTGGCACAGCGTGATAACAGATTAATCTGTTAGGTTAGGTTAATAGATTATATTGAGTAACATTTGTCCAATATAATCAATATTGGACCAATCTGTTGCCAATGAATTGTGCTACTAAAGTATGGGAGATTTGACCCATGGATCAAGTATTTCCAACCTGGCGTGGATCATATCTACTTAAGTAGAATTTTTTTTAATTTTCATTTTATTTTTTGTAAATAAAACGATTTTTGTTGACTAATCTTATAATTACTTTCTTAAAGCAACCAACTTTTCATTCCATTATGGAGTGTTAATCCGATTATAAAATCTAACAATTTAAAAAACAACTGAATATTTACGACAAAAAGCATTGGACATCCCAAAAAATATAACATATCCTCACTATATTGTTATCAGTACTCAACTATCAACATAACATTTAATGTGTTTTACAGCTAAGAATAAACACTGCTGCAACATGAGAAGAAATTAAATCTTCCCATTGTGGAAACAATGACTAAGAATCAAGACTCCCAAAGGATCAGGTATCTCCAGGTTCTCCTACCGGTGACTCCTATTTGTGACTCTCCTGTGGGAGGTTTCATTTTATCCGCAATTTTATTTAAGATTTAATTGTCGAATATAAAGAAACTACGATTAAATGTGAACTTTTCATAAATTTTCGATACTCTCGATCATGACGATGATAAGTACGCTGAGAAAATCGTAAATTATCGGTCAGTTTTGATTACTGACTTGATGATTGACATAATTAAACATTTCAGCGCGTCGGTACGATAAACTGATTAATGAACATCAGCAGTTAACGGATATATTAATTTGTTAATTGGTCACATGAGAAAATTAAATTTCAATTGCGAAAGCTGTCGGCGGATAACCACGAACACCCTTATCATTCACATGCTGTACAATGTGCACGTTTGCGGCTTTATCTGAGCGATGACATAATTCATCGTCCAAATGATATCATCTGTATAAAATACCTCCAAATTATTCGTTGTTAAAATTGCGATTTTCCTTAGAATATACGTCGAGATGTAGGTATGTTGCGAATTATTGATAACGGAGAGCTTGTCGCGAATTAGAACGTTGACGATGCGAATAATATGTAACGAAACGCCGCTTCTTGAAGATTATCTTAATTTGATTTGGAGATCTAGAGACGCTTAAACATATCAACGATTAAAAGGCGAGGAGAGAAATGTTCGGTTAGACGTTCGCGTTAACGCGAGAGGCATCGGTTAAGAGTGGGACGAATAATTCGCTGAAAGAGTCACGGGGGACATCTCGCGTAATTAAATATTCAAATACCGTCATTCAAAGACCGTCGAAGCTGCGTGGACTTCGTCTGGTCGCGCGAGAAATTCCAACTACCGCCCGGCTGCGGGGAGACATGAACATTCTAAGCGGGAGTGGCTGTTTTCAGGATGAACGGAGCCCGGATACGCGGCTTTGGCGTACTAGCCGGAGACCTGTAACTTGCGGCGAAGGACGGAGAGAACGGGCGGACTTTCGATACGGTATTTGCGCGGCGACTTTAAGGGTGAATAAAAAGATCAGCATCTCGTTGGCGCAACAATGATGTATGCTACACGAGTGGGTACAGAGCTAAGTTTACCTTCGCGTCGAACTTCAGACCGGGGAGATCTCACGACAGGAAACCACGCGGCGTATATCGGAAAGAGAGATACCGGACGGTGGGATTGAAGGCATTCCAGAACGCGGAGTGAAAACTTGTTCGACCGTAAGGAACAGCTAGCGGTAGTACCAGCACGTAGCCACTTGCTAACGCATTTCTTCGAGCATCGCAATAGCATGAGCATGACGCCGCAAGTATATCGGAAGGCAAACGAACGGTGTAAGCGTCGCACGTTTTGAAGGAAGATCGATATCGTCGAGAAGATCCGAAATTGAATTTCCCAGCGGAGCCACCCTTCTTGTATCACCGTTGGCTTGGCGACGGACTAATAAAAGAATGTGCGGAACGCGATTAGCGCTTTGGGAAAAAAAATTCTGTCTTTCACGGTTTCGTTCGTGGCTCAAGATACGAGCGTTCACGCGAGAGGAACTCGACGGGTCCTATTCAAAAGGACGACTTCCATTCAAGAGGCTACGCGCAAAAGTAGTTAACTCTAATATGTTCGGATGTCTACACGGAAAAGAGGAATTAGCTGTCCATATATTACAACTGAAATTTTGTTACCAAACCTAGTTCTTAGCTGAAAATTAGGTACGGAGACAAAATTAACGAAATTTCAATTATATTGTAACGACAGCTAATTTTTACCTGTGGCAGCTAGTTTTTAACTGTGGGAACTACTTTTTTTCTGTGTTATTATATTTGATATTAGAGCCAATAGTGGAATATAAAATCACTTTTTTCAAACTGTGATGATGTTTTGCAGAGTAAATTTTTTTCATTTATCTATAACGTCGATTATTTATCAGTAAAAATATAGAATTCTAACAAATTACGCTTGAGGATCTATTCTCTTAAAATGAATCAGTGATAATATTTCCGAACAAATCAGTAAGGCATATTTCACCGATATCACCGAATATTTACTGATTTTCAATAAATACACTTTCATTTACGTCCTTTTATATATTGAAAAATAAGTTTTGTTGGATCCATTTGACAATGAACAACCGAACGCGTTTTGGTTAAATGTAAAATTCCCAGTTTTCATGAATTAAATTTGGTTCTTTCGACCAGAAATATTGTTTCCTTCAGTGTAGGCCTTTCTACCTTACATCTCATTGATTTTGATTATAATATTTGATTATGATAATGATAATATTTTACTACAAAATCTGCGGTATTCCATTGATTACTGTTAACTAGATTTTTTCAACAAAACTTTACCGATTGCAATGCTATATTTATAATTGATTTCACTGTTTCTCGGTAGTAACACACTGATCCCACTTTAGAGAGTACAAATCATTTAAATCGATGATAAGCCATCTTAAGTTGGGAATTTGCTACCAAGACGTATCAATTTCGAAGAAGAGGAAGCACGAAGGGAATCCAAATCTCTGATCAGATTCCCGGTAAGGGAATATCATCCTCAAATTTATCAACGATTCCGTCGTGAGGGATTACGAGATACCTGGGACGTTCTGTATAATTGGCGCGAGTACGAGTATCAGGGAAACGGGGTAAAGATTTATATCGGCATTATTACCGCGTTTAATCTCAATTAGTCAGTCATGCGCAAGTTCTAGACCGAATTTACGTACGGGACTGGTTACCCAACGCCATTCATGCGCCACACTAATTCGCAGCTGATAGCATAAATCAGGGAATAAATACTCCGCAGCGTGTAAAGGGCACAATATTTTCAAGCGTCTATATATTGCGTCACAGTTATTCCTAATTATCAATAAACCAATATTATGAGCTCCGTTGTATCATGCACGTCCAACAAACATTAGGCCTGAATCATCCCGGTGGCGATATTTAAACAATGTACGAGCATGATCGATGATCGATGCGACGCCGATCTTACTTGTGAAAGTCTCGAAAGTTCAATTTTTTTTTCGACGCGAGACGCCGCTCTCTCGCCCGAAAGTCCCGGATTTTCAATTTTGTTTCCGACATTAATAAAATCCCCGAGACTCACGTTAGCTCGACGCTCCTCGGTACGTTTGTTATTCCGAAGGCGTGCCGCAGATTCAATATCGAGTCGCACTCTGCCCGAAAAGTCACGGCGCAGCGCACCAAAGGGTGAATGACTTCAATCGGCGTGCGCCGAGATTGCACGGCCACGACGCGAATTAGAGACGCTGTACGGACACGTTTGCACATGCACCTGTTAAGTAGACGAAAGCATCATTGCGTCGGAAAGGGGGCAAGGGAATTGAGCCCTTGTTCGCGTGTTTCCAAGAACCGCACATTCGGAAACTATTCCAGTTATTCCGCGCACTCGGACTACGAAATGCCGAAGCTCGCCCATACACACACATATATGTACACACAGAAAGAGAAAGAGAGAGAGAGAGGAAGGGGTGGGGGGATGGTCTGCGAGGCATCCGCAGTTACCGCCGTGCGCGTTAACCGATGGTAAGCACGCTTCAAGAAAGCTCTCTCAGAACGACTCCGGCATTATGTCGATCCCGGAAACGTAAGTGCCGGAAACTCGGCGGGTCAGTGGCCGGCTGCATTTTTGATCCGGCATACCTTCAGGCTGTACGTACGCGTTTTTTAAAACGCGACGCGGAACGGTGGTTCCTTACGGAGAGAAGCGCCAGTGTGTGTGAGTTTATCTCGCGGTCCTTGAATTTCTGCATCTCACGGAAATCTTTTCCTTTTCTATTCGCGCGGATTTCAGTTTCGCCAAGCAAAGCGTTCGCGCGTTTAACTCTCGCGCAATTTTCAGAACGCGCGCGTATAAATACGCTAAGTCTATTTGATACGATATTAATCGGTTAGTCTGTTATACTACAAATTAACATCAATTAACGTGATAATTTCAATTAGTATTAATAGAGTAGCTCACGCGTTAAATACGTTTGATTTTGTATTTGCACGAACGTCGGTGAAATGGCACCGCGTTGAAAAGCCGACATTCGATATCAGGAACCAATTCTGTCGATTTTTAATTCGTTACCGGGCGATAGCAATTCGATCTCGACAAGCAGTTTTACATGTGTATAAATCCAATTAACTATTACGGATTGCGTTACAATAATTTTGCGATAATTCGTAGATATACGTATGTGTGCTGTGTGCGCGCGTATGTGTGTGGGGAGGGAAGACGAACTTTTCGACGTTGCGCTACAGACTGACACGAGCCAAGGTATTTTTGTTTACGCGTCTGTTGTTTTAAAGATCAGCGAAGCGTTTAAAGCATTATTTGAGCGGGACATATTTTTATATTTCTCCGAGCTATCTGTTCTACGGAACGCGCTTGCGCTCTGGTGAGATGATTCCTTTTTCCTCTCTCCTTTTTTTTCTCTTACTACTAGAAACATCTGACATGTGAGAGATAATAACGCGCGTTCGTACGACTCCGCGTTATTAACGTTTTCCGCGCAATTTTCACGGATCACGGAGAAGTTTGCACCAGATTATAGCCGGCGGTTATGTAATCGGGTAATTTGCGAGATCTTACAAATTTGCATGGTAAAGAAGAAAGCGATTCGCCTAGAAAATCCATTGACGAATTTTTGCCGTTTTCATCCCTTGCGAGCGGCTACGGGAAAGGGGTTTGCTCAAAGGCGAACTTCGTTAAATTTCGACCAATATCGCCGTTTTTTTAAGCAGAAAAAATCGAATGAGCTACGGTATCGGAAAAATTACTTTTCTCCGGCTAACTGAACGAACGCACGAACTCTATTTACAATTTCGGTAGTTTCTACCGAATCTGCGTTTTCTTCGTGACGAGGCACGTAGAGCGAGATATGCAGTCTTGGTCCTTACACACGTTAACAGTTACGCGGGAAAAAGAATTCGAAAGGAATACACCGATTAAAGTACGAAAAACGCCGATTCGTTTCGAATCGAGACTTTCCTTCGACCGAAATTTAATTCCAGGCTCGATCGTCCGAATATACGAAAGTTACAAGCGAAAAAGTCGCGAACAAAATTCGAAAAGTCCCTTTTGCAAATTCATCGAGGCATTTACCCTTGCTGTTTTAGTATTCCTCCCGCGAGGAATTTTCTGGCGCACCCCCGGAGTATCCAGGAGAAGAAAAAAAAACATTTTCACCGTTGTTCTCGCGATTTACCTCTTTTTGTTTTTGGTCATCATCGACCCGTTTCTTATCCGACTGTCGATCTCACGACGCCCAAATGATGGACCGGCGTCCAGGAATTGTACCAAACATTATCCTGGATCTCTGCCAGGTGTTCTCTCACATGTACTCCCCCGAGACTCGTCGCTTTGTATATATCGTCGCGGTTATTTACGCGCACCGCGTCGTCTATTAATTACAATTTCAACGACCGTATTTTACCAGGAGAACGGCCGACGCTATTTGGAAAACAAACGGCAGAATGTTTCCGCATAATTATATTCTGTTCGGATATAACAGCACGTCGTTGGAACACGTAGCCCCATTTTGGCACCGTGCACTCGATGATGCAGGCGTTAACTCCGGATGAGTAACATGTGGCGTAAAGCACCCTGCGGTAACAACTTGTCTCGGGGTGCTTTTAATGTAACGTTCGATCCTCGTTGATACCGAAAGCGTCTATAGCCGGGGGTATTTTCGTGCAATATTATATAAATCTCATGTTCTGCATATGAACAAATTGTTTCCGGTTTCTTTAAACTTTCTCCGGCGTAAAAATCACCAGTAATGAAAGCTTATGTGTTTAATGCCGAGAAGAACATTCGGTTATATTGTATTCAAATATTCATGTATCCCTAAACGCGCACGATACAATCTTGGAGGGAAGAAACTCATTTTGCGGAGAAAACGGGTTTACGGGCATGATTTTCCTTACGCTCGGTCGCTGCTCGGAAGTCGCAATTTCGTCTAAACATTTTTGCATTGGATCTTTCGGAGTGTATCCAACTCTCTATAAAATACGAACAAGTCATGCGATACTACCTCTCTACTATTGCTGTTACTACTACGATAAAAAAAAAGGAAGAAACAAATAGAGGAGGAAAAAGCGACGTTAAAATGTATCATATTTTACAAAGGCAGAAAAAACGGTTGTCATTCTTTGGACCAAGTAAAGATAAAACAAAAAAGAAAAATGAAAAAAAAATTATTCATCGCGCTTTTTACGAATTGACAAAAAAATTGCCATACCGTAATATGAGGACGCAAATAACAAAATGTCCGGTAGATTAGATTTCTCTGAACAAAATAAATCTGCATCGAACATTTCACATTAGAACGGAAGATATTTATTGAGGAATAATATCGTATCCAAATATTATCGACAAAGTTCCGTTTAACATTAGATATAATCAAAGATTAATTCATTACGCTCCAACAAAGACGAATTATGGTATACAGTCGATAGAATGTCCCTCAATACCGGAAATTTCTCCATTCCCAGTTGGGAAACGCTCCTAAGTCCTTCTCGTAACATCTCATCAAGCAGGAGAGTAATATCGGCGGAATATGGCGCATTTCATTACGCCATCAAACTATTTCTCGCATTAACATTGATTAATGGCAGTTAATATTCATCTTTTCCCATTATCGGTCTTTGTAATGTTAATTTGCGTTTTCAATTTACGTTCTTTGTGTTTTTTCATTGATCTTTATGTTCTTTTCATTGATCTCATAATTGTTCCCTCAAGTGGCATTTATATCCTTTATGGTTTTACCAAAAATATTT